CTAATAATAAAACACAATTATACTACTGATCACTTTAATTCGCAGTTATTTCGCTTCGAAGTATTCGCTTGTATCGCCAATTCAATACTGACTCGGTCGTGGTCTATACCGGCCTTATATAGGGCTTCAGATAGTTTCCAGAACCTTCTACTGTAGAAACATCTAGAATGTTCGAGTAGATATCGGTCCCGAAATTTCTAGAAGGATTTTGACTCTCCTAGTTCTACTACTCAATACTAGAGGGCGCTAGTGGTAACTAGTGTTGCCATGTACAAGACATTAATAGTGGCGCGCAACAATATTAATATTATTAATTTTATTAACATTAACCAAAGTCTATATAGGCTTCGTGGTGCAGTAACTTTGCAATGAATTGTTGGCCGCGGGTCGAATCCCGCACGGAACAAATATTTGTATGGCCTACAAATAATTGTTCCGGATCTGGATATTTTTTTTTGTGCAATTTACGTAATATGTAAACTTCCTCCACGATACAGGAGAAAACCCTAATGCTGAGGTAACTTTTTTTTTAAATAAAACATATATAAGTAACGACTCATTTATGAAAATTGCATGGCAGATGACAAAGCTATTTTTTACCTGAGATCCTATTTCTGTGTGTTAATTACTTCTGGTAGTGGTAGAATTTAGACGCAGTAAAGTATGTTTTAGAATAAAAGTATATTTACGGATTTCATCGCGTTTAATTTACTTATTTTCATTTCCGACGTTTCGGGTTGCTTTACAGAAGTGTCCATCGCCGCTTAACTTAACATGTCATCGATTTTTTTTAATTTCTCCGACATGTCGGTTTCCTGACGATGTTTTCCTTCACCGCTGAGCTCGTAAATCAGCACTTAAAACTGCAATTAACGATTACATCCGTGCCGCCGGGAATCGAACCCGGGTTGCTTGCGTACTGTAAAATTTACAGAGAGCGCTTAACCACTGCGCTACCATGGCACGATTTTGTAAGCAACTGATAAATATGCTGACGACTGATTATAAGAAAAGTACAATTGTTTACAGATTGGCACGTCTCATCTCGCAACAAGTTCATTGACCTATATCTCCCTGGTTTAAAGTACAAAACAAACAATGATTCATAATGACGCATTTTATATTTGACGGCTCCGTGGCGCAGTGACTTAGCAATGAGTTGCAGAGCTAAGGGCCGCGGGTTTGAATCCCGCACGGAACAAGTATTTGTATGACCTACAACTAATTGTTCCGGGTCTGGATGTTTGTCCTTGTGAAATTTATGTATGTAAACTGCCCCCGCGATACAGGAGAAAATCTTAGTGCGGAGGTAACGTTTTTTAGTTAAAAATAAAAACTTTTTAACAAAAAAATTAAACCGCCGAAAAAACCGAAAAGCAAAAAATAATAAACCTTTTTTATTTAACCTTAATAACTAAGTTCTTAAACTAATTTAAGTATACCTAAGTATATATTTTTGTAATTATTTTGAGTTTTTAATTAACCCTAATAACTAACTTCTAAAACTAATGTAAGTATACCTAAGTAATTTTGAGTCGGCGCCAAACAAGCAAATTAATTAATGACGTAAAGCCTTCGATCAACAATTCCAACTAGATATCGGGTTGGAGCAAAAATACGTCCAAGTAAATAACAGCGCACTGGAGACGTGAGCTCTTATTTCGTTTAGTTGATTTGAAACACAGCCAATGTAAACACGTTTCACAATGCCGCAATGTATTCTTGCAACTTTTGCGTACGTGCTAATGTGCGAGGCCATCAGCAAAATTCGGCGCGTACGGCGCGTATGGCGCGGACAAATGTGCGTTCAGCTTTAATGTTTATCGCTGAAGATTTCACGTTGCATTGTTAATTTGATTTTGATTTAGTTATTTCTTTAAATTTAAGGTAATTTAGTGTTCTTTGTTCATTGATTGTTTGGCGCCGACTCAAAATTACTTAGGTATACTTACATTAGTTTTAGAAGTTAGTTATTAGGGTTAATTAAAAACTCAAAATAATTACAAAAATATATACTTAGGTATACTTAAATTAGTTTAAGAACTTAGTTATTAAGGTTAAATAAAAAAGGTTTATTATTTTTTGCTTTTCGGTTTTTTCGGCGGTTTAATTTTTTTGTTAAAAAGTTTTTATTTTATAATTTTTCGTGGCTATAATCTACTAATTACTACATGCTTAGTTTTTGACTACTTTCAAATTAGCTACCTACCTTAATTTAGCCTTTAACTGTTATATAATCCTACTTTAACTATTATTTGTTGTATAATAATATAAATTCTTTAAAAAAACAGGCTTTATATACCACCATGGGTAGGCCTACAAAAAATGCTGCTCGAATGAGAAAAAGATATTTAGAAGAATCTAATAATGAGAAAAATAAAAGTTTGGAAGCAAATAGAAAGAGAATTAGATTAAAACGTTCACAGGAGCGTTTAAATCAGCGCGAGGAAAGACTGTCGAAGATGTGTGTACAATAACGATAGGTTATCGCAAGAATGTGAAGAACAACGCGCACATCGTTTAGGTATGATAAGAGAGAGAGCGACTTTCAAATGAAACTGAAGACGAACATTTGCTACGTTTGGATGCTGCTCGTAAATGTTCTGAAATGGTGATACTTCACGAAACTCCCGAGAAGAGAACGCGATAAGCGGCTTGCGAGCGAAGAAACCAGTGTAATGCAGAAAATTTTAAGAAAGCGATTAATGTTTATGCTGACTTGCCGTGTTCAATATTCGAAAAAGTTTGTATCCTCAGCAACGTACGATATTGCAAAATACAAATTTAGGCTCTATTTTCCCTAATGAATTGGTAGCTTTAGGTAATATTATTACTTGTTCACGATGCTCAAATAATATTAAAAAAAACAACACTCCACCGTAGGCCTATTGGAATAAAATGTCGGTAGCTGTAATGCCTACAGAAATCGATGACTTATCGGAAATTGAGAAACGTTTTATTTACAGAGTAGGTAGTGCCATTTCTTAAAATAATAAACGTTCAAAATCGTTTGAGCCAAGACTGGTGCAAATGGCAGGCAATTATTTTTGTTTAGGATGTGGTCAAGCTGGCGGAGAAACTTCCGCTTGAACCTAATCAAACTGGATTAGTGCTTGTAGTAGAAAGTCGTAAAAATTTAGAACTTTCTAGGGAGTTTTAAATAGATGTAATGAATCTAATGAATAATGCACTCTATAAAGATGTTCGTCTCTATAAAGATGTCATAATAGTGAAGAATCAATTGCTGAACGGTCAACTGTACCTACAAATAACTATAATGCCTTGAGTAACAGTGTATCTATATTATATGGTTCTTTTCATCAGGACAATGAACGATTTAGTCCAGATTCACGTGGTCATTTGGTGGTTGCTAGTGTGGCATTTTCTCTGATAAATCCCAATTATTGGTGCAAAAGCGACATAGATTACATGTTATTGGTAGGAGATAAATATTATAGAGACTGTATTGCGGCTCGGGCTAACCCCAATTCCGAAGAAGCAAATATCGAATATTTGGTTGCAAATGAGCTTTAACCTAATATCACATACAACAATCGAAAAGTTGATATCAATGTTCGTCATGAATCAGCATTTAATGGTCACGTAGACAACGACAATAGTGAAGAAGGATTTCCCAATTTGTTAAATGCTCTAATAAATGTATTTGCTACATATGGGAAGAAACCTCCAGATAATGTTGTTCCAAAAGATGTCAACAATTGTAGTGGACTTTTATCTGAAGTAAAATTAGTTGTCGAATCTCGTGTGATGTTGAGACGTAACAATCAGTATCTGACGGGCTCGTCAATGGTGCTATGGGTATTGTAAAAATAATAAAATGGCCATCAATACGCAGGGATCAACTAGAGGAAGGAGAATTACTGGATTGCGTATTAGTAAAATTTGACGATGAAAGCATAGGAAGCAGACTAAAAGATAGCGATGGCTGTGTCGCTATACCTTCAGTGGTAGCCACCTTTTAAGGTACGAAGGGTAATGGCGATATTGAGCGCAGAATGTTGTCGATAATTTTATGCTGGGCCGTCACGGTTCACAAATTACAAGGTGCGACCCTTGATAAAGCTGTAATCGAACTCGGAAAGAAAGTGTTTGCCAAAGGATAGGCAGAGTAGAGTAATAACACTTGAGGGTATTGCTATATCTGATTTAGAGCCAAATAAGGTATTACACATACCTCACGATGAACGAGCTTTAGCAGAAATGCAGAGACTGAGAGGTCTACACACAAGAGACAGACAGCTCTAAAGTTCATTCATCGTGAGGTTTTTTTGTAATGTAATATAATGTAGTGTAATTATTATGTAATGTAGTAATACACCACTCAGAATTAAAATCTGTGAGTAAAAAATAAATCTAAACCCTATTTTCCCACCCTTAGGGTAGACATATTTTTTCCAAATTTATATGGGACCAATTTCGAGGTATACCCTATCCAATAAAAAAAGAATTATCAAAATCGGACTACTCTGTAAAAAGTTATGCGTGGTCATACATAAAAAAAATATACACCTCGACTTGAGAACCTCCGTTTTTTCGTCGGTTAAAAAAGAATAAAGAAAATATTGGAGTCTGTACAGTCTTTTTTTTAAAGTATAGGTGACAAACGAGCACACAGTTTAACTGATGATAGGTAGATGCTGTGGTCCATAGAAATCTACATCTATCCTCGATTAAGAAAGAAAATCATACGCGTTGTTAATAAGTTGTATTACCAATAAATATAATAAAATTATGTGACTTACCCAGTTTGCACTATCCCCATCACCAATAATCCCAGTACCAACTCTACTACCAACTCAACACTACACTAGGAAAGACACACCAGCGTCGATAATACGACACGTGTTTCGCCTCTACATAAGGTATCATCAGGTGAAGTAGACCCTGCGGTCTCTAAAACTTAAGACTTAAGATTTAGACTTTTAATTAGGTAAAAAGAGTTAGAGGTAGCTTTAAAAACCAAATTACTTAACTTACAGGCGTGGGCATCATCGACTTCGAATCTTGGAGACCGATTTTCAGACAGAACTTCGGGGTGCTGGTGCCTTACAAGGACGTTTCTTACGAGATAGAGAAGAAAACGCACTGGTGGTGGCCGAAAACCTGGGTACAGGATGAGGTGAGACCGGTTATTGATAACCTATGTTATCCTAGTAACTTTGTCTAGTTGTGTGTATGTTTGAGCTTTTTTTATAGGAGAGGGGGCAAACGAGCATGCGGCTCACCTGATGGTAAGCGACTACCGCCGCCCATAAACAACCGCAACACCAGGGGAATTGCAGATGCGTTGCCGGCCTTTTAAAAAGGAGTAGGCTCTTTTCTTAAATGTCCCTAAGTCGTATCGGTTCGGAAAGATAGCTGGTGATAATCAATAATAAACAAATAAAAATAAATTACATTATGGTTATGAAAAAAGTAAAAAGGTACTACTAGAATATAAAAATTTGTTTTTTATACGTGGTAGAACCAGGCTGCAACCATATTACGGTTGTAGCCCGAATGACTCGGCTCGACTCGTAAACGTAAAATTGTTGCAGTGTTTCGTATGGCGAGTGTACAGAACCGGAAACTCTTTTAACCCGACTTAAAAAAGGAGGAGGTTGTATGTTCACCGATTACTCGAAGACGACTGGACCGATTTGGAAAATTCTTTTTTTGTTTGTTTCAAAGGGTATACTTTTCAGGTGGTCCCATTTAAATTTTATCGACATCTGTCGAGCGATGTTTAAAAAATCAACAATAAATTATTTTATTTATATTGAAGTTGGTTGCACTAAGTTTTTAACTTTACCACTAGTTACTGGCAACGAAGCATTCCTTCTTAGTCCTCAGGGGTGACAACGCATCTGCATTTTGATTCTCAATTCAGGATAGATTTAGATGTCTATGTGTCAGAGCAACCAATTACCATCAGGTGGACTGTGTGCTCGTTTTTCTATTTTTTAAAAATTCTTATTCTATAAAAATCTGCCTAAAAATATATATACATACTTATGCCTCCGCCATAGATTGCCTCATAGGGGATATCATGCCATAGTTGCCACGCTTGGCATACGGGTTGTCAACCAAATAGCAATTTTATTCAAACATAAAGTTAGTATGCATTCATATTTAAAACATAAATTATTTTTCTGCCGACTTCAAAAAAGAGACGGTACTCAATTCGACTGTATGTTTTTTTATGTGTGTTACCTCATAACTTTTTACTGGGTGAACCAATTTCGATGATTCTTTTTTTATTTGAAAGCTGGTACTTCACATGTGGTCCCATATGAATTTGATCAAAGTCAGACCAATAGTTTTTGAGTTATTCTTAATAACTTATATTGAAGTCGGCTGTACAAATTTTTAATTTTCTAACGACCCAAAGCGATCATGATGCAACAATGCAACACAAAATTAAACATGGTACGTGCATGGTTATTAAGGCCACTTCCAGACATCGTTGTCATTGCCCTAATTAACGTTTGTCTGATTGCTCAATCGGAGTACCTATATGAACGGAGATTTCATAAATCACTTTGGAAACATATTGACATACTCAAATTCAAAATCAAATACTAATTGTTTATTGTACGTCACGTTATATCCATACAAATAAATAAAATTGTAGTGTCTGTATGTAATTTCAAAATAACAGCCTTTTACTAAATGCACATGAAAGTATATACTTTTACGTGGTAGAGCCATGGTGCAGCTATATTGGTAATATAGTTGTAACACGAAAGGGTCGGCTCGACTGGGGAAGGACCACGCTTTCACAGTATTAAGCTGCTATTTCACCAGCGTAAAATAGCAGCTTAATACTGCTGTGTTTCGTATTGTGAGTGTAGAGAACCAGAGATCCGTTTTACTGAAAAAGAGACATTCCATCTTAGTCCTCACGGGTGGCAACGCATCTGCATTTTGTTTCGCAAACGAGGATAGATGTAGATGTCTATGGGCCACAGCAACCACTTACAATCAGGTGGACTGTGTGCTCGTTTGTCACCCTATCCTAAAAAAAATACTGTACTTATAACAAAATCATTTTATAATTTTTGTATGCCTTGTCTGTTTGTTCCGGCTAATCTCCGGGATGGCTGGACTGATTTTGACTTGACTTTCATCTGGTGTTATAAGGATAACTTAGGCTACTTTGGGTAAAATAATTAGGGTTCTGCGCAAAGTAATTAAAACCCATGAAATCGAATTGTAATAAATTCCACGCGCATGAAGTTGCGGGGAACAGCTAGTTATTGGTAAATATATATGTGACGACTGCCTCGTTGGTTACGCAAGTTGTCCGGTGGTCGTAAACGCGACAGATTGACCATGAGGTCTCGGGTCTTGAGTCCCGGGTCGAAAAAACTGTTGAGTTTTGTGTCAAGAAATTCTCATTATCAGACCGGAGTCAAGAAATAGGCGGTGCCACGCTGGATTTGGCGTAGGTAATGTACAATTTTGTTGTGTTGAAAGATTCAAAAACTAACAGTTACTTTTCTACCGACTCCAAAAAGCATCCGGTACTCACTTCGACTGTATGGTTTTTTTTTAAATTAGATAAATCGATTTAGGTGATTTTCTGCCGACTTCCAAAAAGAAGACGGTACGCAATTCGACTGTATGTCTCTTTTTTGTGTTACCTTATAACTTTTTACTGGGTGAACCGATTTCGATGATTCTTTTTTTATTTGAAAGCTGGTACTTCACATGTAGTCCTATATAAATTTGATCAAGGTCTGACCAATAGTTTTTGAGTTATTCTTAATAATTTATATTGAAGTCGGTTGTAAAAAAATTTTAATTTTAAATTGTAATTAAATTTAGATTCTTAAGTTTAAAGCTGGTTAGTGCTTTTAGTTCCAGCTAGAGTTAAAATTTAAGACCACTGTCGGGTCGTCATGTTACATGATACGACAAATATAAACAAGTTGACGAAACCACAATTAAACAATTCGCGTTAAACCGCGCTTCCTCTCACGTCAATTAGGATTATTGGTTAATTAAGCTAATTACACTGCGCTAACAGTGTATCCACCTTTAATATCCTTCTGTAGATCCAAGGTTAGTCCTTATTTCAACATATGGTCCAAATAATCCACTTCTACGCGCATCCATTGATCAGTGAGCTAAAGTCACAGAATACCAGCGTAAAGTAGCAGCTTGTGAATTTTGTATGGTGAGTGTAGAGAACCGGAGACCCCTTATACTGGAAAAGAGGCATTCTATCTTAGTCCTAAGGGGTGACGACGCATCTTTATTTTGATTCGTAGTTGAGGATGGATGAAGATGTCTATGGGTCACAGCAACCACTTACTATCAGGTGGACTGTGTGCTCGTTTGTCACTATTATTCTATTAAAAAAAAAGTGGTAATAAACCGACCATATAGATCGAAAAACTGACAACCGGTGTGAAAATGAGAAAGAAAATTTCCCGAATAGCGGCTTCGTAAGTGGGGTAGCCAGGTCTTAAAACCGAAAAGCCAGACCAGCTAATTTAGCTGAACATTTGGGTAAAAAGACCGGACACCATAAATTTTTTGTTTTAGTATAACACAACAGTTTTTTTTTTTTAAGTATAACAAGGCCTTTTAATCTTTTAAGTACCATAAAATATTCTTAAATACTAATGAAACAACAATAACATTGAATCAGTTTTCTTTATTATTAATCATTCAATAATGATTACAATACGACACATGACAAATGCAAAAAAAAATGGTGAAATTTAAAAAGCCGAACAAAAGCCGGACACGTCGGACACCGTCTAATTTGGTCGCACATGCAACCAAAAAGCCTCACTGTGTCCTGCTTTATCCGGACCCCTGGCAACGCTATTCGTAAGGGTAAACGAAGTCCACTGATGTTCGCATTACGACGAAGCAAACCATCTATTGTGAATTCATGGAAATTTCAACACTAAAACAAAAATAAATTAATACCTTTATCGATTGACAACATGACTGTCTGATCTTAGTTTTTTCATAAACATAAAATGGCTTACGTACTCTACAAGTTCAAATGCCTGGTATGTGGACAAAAAATGTGGAGAATGGCTGAATATCTGGTTGTACGTTGGGGGAAGAGTTAAGCCGAAATTACGTCATGCAATTCCTTGTGTTCGGAGAACTAAAATTGAATGCTTGCAACACATCAAGCACACCATAAAGTTCAGAGTTGAACACAGCAGTGAGTTTAGGCAAATAAGGAGTGCTAACGCCTTAGAAGAAAGCCACTGCATCATCATCATCATGATCGTCATCATTTTTTATAGAATAAGGATGACAAACGAGCACACAATCCATCTGATGGCAAGTGCATACTGTGGCTCATAGACATCTACATTTATCCTCAATTAAGAATCAAAATGCAAATGCGTTGTCACCTCTGAGTACTAAGATGGAATGCCTCGTTTCCAGTAAAAAGGGCCTCCCCTTCTCTACACTCACCATACGAAACACAATTTTACTCTGGTATTCTGTGAGAGCGAGGTCCTTGAAAGGTTGAACCGACCCGTCCATATTACAACCATAATATAGCTGCAGAGTAGCTCTACCACGTGTAACGTCACCCATATTTGTTTAAAGAAACCAAATTCAATCACGTGCTCCTAAGATGTTAAGAATCTTTAAAAGATTTCAGACATATAAATGTAAACATTTTCAGATCTAAAATGATAAAAATGTATCTTATTAGGTTGGTTGTAATTTCTACTCTTTTCTCAAATAAAGACTATTTGTTTTTAATTTAATCACTTCTTATCTTAACATAGATCTCACTGTAGCAAATATTTACTTAAGTCTTGTATGAAAATTAGAAGAAACGATACTAAATATCTAAGATTACGAGATTTTAACAGTGGTAGAGCCACGCGGCAGCTTTTGCTGTCGCACGGATGGGTCGGCTCGAACCGGGGTGGTACCACGACCTCACAGAAAACCAGCGTGAAGTAGAGGTTTGCCTCTGCGTTTCGCTTGGTGAGTGCAGGTGGCCGCAGGCCCTTTTTACTGGAAATGAGGCATTCCATCTTAGTCCTCACGGGTGACAACCCATCTACATTTTGATTTGTAATAGAGGATAGATGTAGATGTCTATGGGTCGCCGCAACCACTTACCATCAGGTGGACTGTGTGCTC